AAACATAAACATCTTTAAGCCAAACAAACAGAATCTATGTATCGTACTTCAACCTAACAAACCAGTCACACACTTCGTGGCACGACGTCCTCTACTGAATCTGACTGACTGCTCGTCGGCCATTCCCAGGATGACTTTGTGGAGTGGTGGTAGCAAACCATCCTCCAGATGCCCATTGCCACACGTAAGGGGGCTTAATTGGCAATCATGTTTACGTCGTGTTCTTTTTTGTTTTTTTTTACTCCGGAATTGTTCTATGGTAATTTTCTATTAAAGAAAAGTTCAAATATGTACAAGTAAAGGTAACGAAAAGAACTAAAGAAACCTAGGGTGTGTTTGGTTGTAGAACAAAGTAGAATGCAATGTAATGGTTCCATCTCCTTGTTTCATAGAGCTAATGAGATGGAATGGAACGGTTCCGTCTCGGTGTTTGGTTTCCTGTAAATTCAATGCTAATGCTGACAGTAGACATCATTTAGCAACTACTAGTATTAAATTCATATCAACTAGTACTGGTACTAAGCATCATTTCTAAAAGTAATAAATCACCGTGTGCATCTACACACATCTTCGAGCGGGATAGAAGGAAGCGCCGAGGATTTGATTCCTTGCACCTTCACTCAGGTCAAGGCGTCGCCTGGTCAACCCGCTGTCCAAATCAGCCTTCCTTGGTGGGCAGCACCAGCGTAGGTGGTGACGACGGAGAGCTGTGCTCGGGAGGCGGGGTCATCGGGTCATGGCGTGGTGGAGGTGGAGGAGCAGCTTGTCAGAGCTCGGGTGGGCGTAGGTCAGAGGTTGACGACAGTGGCTGTTGGGGTCAACCGTAGTGCAGAAAGAGGCGGTGGCGGAGGCTGGCATGGCAATGACAGTGAGGGAGGAGGCGCCTGCGGAAGCCGGTGATAGAGCTGTGCAGAGGCGAGGTCATGGAGGATTGGCTGTCAGGTGCGCAGAGTGCATGGAGGCACGATCGAGAGGAAGTAGATGCGGGCAGGGAGGCCACAACGCCGGCCGGGCGCGAGGAGATGGCGGCTTTGCTGCACGGCGCTGCGGGCGACGTCCATGGCGACCGGGCAGCAAGGTAGAAGTGGGTTTGGGAGCTCCTGTGAGGGAGCCTGCAGGGAGGAGGGCGATGGACGGGCGGCTCGTAGGCCGGCTGGCTTCGCCGGCGGTGGTTGGGAGGCCAACCGGCAGCTGAGCGCGCGGGATCGGGCGCGTCTCCCCCGGTAGTGGCTGCTTGTTGGGGTGAGACGAGAGAGGGTGAGAGGAATGAGTGTGTTCCGCATCTCGGGGGTATATGCGTTCTGTTTTCCTCTCGAGCCAAACGCAGGAACCGAGGTCAGGGACATCACAGACCCATTACATTCTACTTCGTTACTGAAACCGAACACATCCCTAAAGATATACATCTATACAATTCCTGATTTCTGCAGCATTGTGATGATTTGCTCTTAGCTCTGATCTTGAGGTCTTTCTTGAGGATGTTGCACCACCCTTGAACATGTGGGGCAGCATTATGATTTTTTTGTCATTCCATAAGAGTACATATGCTCCAGCAGCGCATGATTACTAGTTCAAGAGCAATTGTATTAGGCTCTGTTTTTAAGGCGTCCCGCCTTGGACGCTTAGGCGACGCTTAGGCGATAAGGCGCCCCGCCAGCGCCTTACAAATATGCCCGCCTTAGGCGCTTAGGCGTCGCCTAGGCGATAAGGCGCCCCCCCAGCGCCTTAGATCGCCTTACCGCCTTAAAAACATAGGTATTAGGCAAGTCTTGAATGGCTAGAAGAGCCTCATCAAAGAATGATATTCCTCTGTTCTTATTAGGAATGATCATCTGTCAACAGTTTTGATCAAAAGGGCAGTCCCAAAATAGGTGGACTGGAAGCAGCACAATGAAACCATGGTTTTTGAGTCGCGACTCATGCGAGTCGCTCTGGGGCAGCGACTCGGAAGAAGTCGAGCCTGCGTTGTGACTAGTCGCGACTGAGAGTCGCGAGTCGACACTAAGTTGAGTCGACCATATTTTTGCGACTCATAGACTAGTCGTCGACTAGTCGCGACTAGTCGAGCGACTCAAAATCCATGAATGAAACCATCCCTAGCGTCGCCAGTTTGCTTGACAGAATCAAAGCTGAGGTCAGATTGTGCGCAGGGACAGTGGTGACGGACCTTAGACAATTTTGCCTGCAGTGCCTACCACCTAGTGTGTTGCGTTGTACTTTGGGGTGTGGCCTCTCGTAGGCTTGTACATACAACTTCTTCTATCAATGCTCACCCTGTGCGTTCGGTTTATTCGGTTTACATGGTTCAGTTTATACGGTTTTTCGGTTTGTACGGTATTAATACTTCGGTAAATACGGTATGAAATTAAAATACGGTTCGGTTTCGGTATATACCAAATTATTTCGGTATGGTTTCGGTATATACCATAAAAACCAAAGTTGACGCGAATTTGAAAATGATGTAATAATAATTTGCAAATTTATGACTCAAAACACATATTATTTTACACAAATAGTATATGACTATATATATAAGTATATATGCATGCATTAATTCATCTGTTGATGGTTATCGACATGCTTAGCATTTTAAAAAGAGAAAAGTGACTATGTTACAAGAAAATTTTACATGCTTATTAGTGAATTTGACTCATGTACAAGAAAAATGACAACTTGTATGGTTGTTCATCTCAAGAAATATAAATTTATTTTTACTTCGGTTTATTCGGTTAACCGTTCGGTTTTTCGGTATATACCATAAAAACCAAAGTTTAAATCGGTATGAAAAGTTCATACCATACCGAAACCAGAAACCATAAAAACCATAAAATCGGTTCGGTTCGGTTTATTTTCGGTATGGTTTTTCGGTTCGGTTTTGAAATGCACAGGGTGAATCAATGCATTGAGACACAAGGCTTTTGCATTCCATCTAAAAGAACTAACAAACCAGCAAAAGAACATGTTTTTTTCTTTCCAGAAGTCCTGTTTACCATCATCTATTTTTTAAAATTGCCATCCACAGAGCCCTTAAGAGGTTTATTAAGCAAATACAAAAGCTGAAAAGAAATGCAAGTGGCCTAAAAAAATACTTTCGAGGTGGATTCTCAAGCAACGGAAATAACCAAAAGCATGGCTAAAATAATTTAGGTGCAGAGGATTACTTATCAGGATAATAGAATTAATGAATTTGTGCGCACACCTTAATGTGATCCCAGTCCATGTTAACAACAGCAAGCCTATGAGTTTCCTTATCAATCATAGGTGTATCATCATGCCTCGCCATCAAGTAATGAGCAATGTCACTGCCGACAGAGCACTGCAGAAAAAAGACAGCAGGAATTATAAGGAATGCAAGAAACATGTCTCTCTTGACGACAAAAAAAAAACAGCTAGTAAAGTGTCCCATCAAGATAATTTAGTAACCATATGGAAATCCTAGAAATAAAAACACATGACCTACCTAAGAGACCCGTATTGGCAGGCAATAAAACCAACTATGCAGTAAGTTGCAGAAAAAAATCAGTATATAAGATCTAGAGGCGCAGTTTGAAATGGTTCTTGCAGTCACATATTGAGATGCGTGGATTACAGAAACACACATTTTTCTGTTTCTGATAAGCATCTCTCAATAAGCTCCACGTTCTACAAGAAAAAAAGAAGACTACAGCAAGCACAAACATACACCACAAGTTGAAGAAATCCCCATAACTGTTAAGTCTGTAGCCTTCATAGTTGGGATTAAAACAGCATCTGTGCAATCGACATGGAAGATGGAATTAAGCAGCACATATCAAATAATTACTAACTACCAACCAGACCATACATCGCACATACGTATCAACATAAGGACGTGCTTTTATAGTTTTATTCTCTCCCAATTCACAAGCGAGAGCATAGGCGAAAATGGAGAAGCATGCAACCTTTACAATAGCAGAGAAAGGTAATCAAACGAAACATCATAGAATTGGATGGGAAACGTCACCTCGTCATCCTCCTCCTCCTCCTCTTCGTCATCGCTACTAGAACTTTCTTCTTCAACTTGCTCATCCTCTTCTTCCACCTCATCGTCATCATCTTTTTGGACCAGCTTCACTTTCTCCTTCTCTTTCTCCTTTTCATCCCCCTCCTCTTGTTTGAGATAGTAATGCAGCATGGGGTTCTCCTTGGCGCCCTTCTTGCGGCGCCTGCCGCGCTTGTCCACCGGCGCCTCCGACGAAGCGAACATCGGGTTGGTCAGCATGCCGTTGAACCTCGAGTCCAGGGCGACCTTCGCCTCCTTCCGCCGCATCGGCCTGAACCTCGGGTCAGTCCGCGCCGCCGCGAACCTCTCGTCCTCCATCGCCCGCTTCATCTTCTCGTCTCCCCGCTTCACCTCCGCAGCCCCCGCCCCCGTAGCCTCGGCCACAGCCCCAGCCTTCTTCTCCTTCTTGGGCTTCTTCCCGTGCTCCTTACCCTCCTGCCCGCCCTTGTGCTTGCGCTTGGCCTCGTTGCGGGGAGACGCTTCGTCCGCGGCGGGACGCTCATGCTTATCCTTCCGGTGCTTTCTCTCATCTTTGGAGTTGGATTTCTTGGCCTTCTTTTGACCCTTGAGGTCGACGGAGTCGGCCGTCGGCGCCATGGCGGCTGCTGCTAGGGGTGCAGTGGCGGCGGGCGGCGGGCGGCGAGGGTGTGCAAGGAAGGGTATGGAGGGTAGCCGGAGTAACGAACGACCTGGACTATATGGATCCTACGTGGGCCGAGATGGACTACAAAAAGACCTGGCCGCTAAATGACCGGCACTTTGGCCCATGTTCGCATACAGGCCCCACATGTCAGCAGAACGGTGGTGTCCACTTGTTTATGAGCCGCTCCCTCGCTGTACGTCTGATCCACGCATCATCAATTCGCTGGACGTACCACGACTCATTGCGCCCAATCTCACGCCCGTTGCCCCATCGCCAAGCCTTCCTCGGCGTTATCGCCGTCGCCGTCGTCTCGCCGGCGTCGGCCGCTGGGAGGAGATGGCGTCGTCGCTGGACGCGCCCAACCTCGACGATTACCTCACCGCGGACTCGCTCCCGCAGGAACCCCCGAGGAGTCTCACCCTGTAATAGCCCTAACACCTGCCGCTGCGTCTTGCTTGCTTCTCGATCTCGCTCGCTTGATTATCGATTCCAGCTAGATTGTTGAGGCGTTTGATGTGGTTTTACAGGCGCGATCTGCTGGACATCTCGCCAGTGCTCACCGAGGCCGCGGGCGCCATCGTCGATGTGAGTACCTTTTCTGATCCTTTTACCTTCTCTCGTTTCCTGTGGGAATGTATGAGGTCAGTAGTCGTTTCTAGGCTTATGGTCTGCAAGGTTTAGGATAAGGGGAAACGAGCCTCTTTCAGCTTTTCTATTTGGTGGAAAGGTGTGTAAGAATTATTATTTTGATTTACAAATGTTTAATTTGTGTGCTTTTGGTTCAGTTCGTGTAGGATTCTAGCATGTTGCTATTAGCTGGATGTCCTGTCATTGGCCACCTTGATTTAAGACCTCTTGAACTTTTGAGGGTTAGCTTGTTGTTTACTGCCACTATTATCTCTATATGGCTATTCTATTCAACACATCTCCAGCTGTAGTTTACATATTTGGCTTAAAATAGTGAATGATCCTGGATTAGATGAAAGCAATACGGTCAGTCAGTCGAAAGACTGTTTTTGTTTTTTCTGTTTATTTAGGAGGGGTTTTGTTATAATTTCCAATTTTTTGACTCTTGGAATTGTGTGGTTAGTATTCACCATTATGTAATTTTGAAATATTGTTATGAAGGCTTCGGTCTGGCTGAGACTAACTTAGCTTATGCGAACACCCAATTGAAAGGGCTAACATGTTTCTCTTGCTAGAACGAGTGGTGCTTGGATGAGTATTCCTTCGATATAGTGACTGCATTATAGATTACAGAAGTTCTTGCCATTTTTAAGTTCAACTTTTTGATCGGATGAAAAATTGTCTAACTGCTGATCATTTTGTTTTGCTCGATAAAGTCAACTTTTTAGGAAGTGATGATAAGTCAGTAGTTAGTACTGTCACAGCTCTCCCTTAGTGGCTGTTCGGATATAGGGAATTATATGTGAGATTTTAGAAAACGAGTTTTTGGAGGATTTGTAGGAAAACCAGTTTTGGTTTGTTATTCTGTTAAGGTAAGTACATACAATACCTTGTTTGGATGGGAAAATAGAAAAACACGATTTTGAGTTCTTCGTTTTCGGGGGAATAGAAAAACAATTCATGGAGGTGCGGTGCTTCGGCTCGCTCTTGGCACCTACACGCACAGCAGCGGACAACCACACCGTAAACGGCTCTCCGGCGGGGTTGCGCGGCCATCACCGTGGCCGCCGGGGTGGTAGCGCTGCTCGCCTGGTTGTGCTCTGCTTCGTTCGCCGGTGTCATGAATGCTGGTCCAGGTCCCCATACGTCGCTCCGGTGACGAATTCTTTCCGCCATGAAGATGCACGTACATACAGCTCACATATGACAAGACACAAGCACATGGCGTAAAGCACCTTGATTGATTCTCAGGCCAGGCACGCATGTTCCACCTAGCTGCTGGATTGATTCGCCGGTAACAGCAGAGCACAACGCACATGCTAGGGAGGCGCGACGACGACGCACAAGCTGGAGCATATGGACAACGACGGTAATTGTGAAGCTGCCGATGGACACAATGGCAGCTGGCCGCAGTCCTCGTCCACCATGGAGGCGCTGGGCTAGGTGGAGCATCGCAACCTGCTCCTGGGTGCCTGACCGAGATCGGCAATGGCGGCTTTTGGCTTTGTCAAGCTGCTGTCAAGGCCGTCGGAGTGTACCATGATCAGCGCGTCGGACTTCATTGATCTCCTGATGCATACAGAAAAGTCATTTATATAAAAACGTCTATTAGTCGTTTTGTATAAACTGGGTTTTGGGGCTTTTGGAATACTCAGTTTAGTGTATCCACGAGTTCGTTAGATAATCCAAACAATTTTCTGGTTGTTACACCAGAAATCAGGTTTAAGAAAAACTACTTCTCTATAATCTAGGTATCCAAGCAACCCCTTAATGGAGGTATAAAATAGAACATTGAACATTTTGTCATCCTTCATGGATATGAACTTGAGCATCTTTCGTGTATGTATATGTTCATAGCCTCTATATTTTGAACATGAAATACCTGTTGTTTGAGGTGCACATAATTTGAATGTGTTGTGTTTTCTGTCTTATGGCATAATATTCGCCTTATCCAATATAAGAGGAAGCCAAACCTGCAAGTCTGAGCAGGTTGTAAATTAGAAAATAATAGTGGTTATTCATATTTGGGGAGGTGGAGGCGGGGAGAGGATTATCTCTACTGCTTAAAAAGAATGTGAGGTTCCATGTTTCACTTTTCTTCTCACCACCCCTTCGTGTAACCTTCTTTATATGATAATCAATCACCTTAATTTACTTACTTTTTGAACGAATTCACTTTAATTTACTTACCAAACTTCTCAGCAAAATATAAGGTAAATCACGGGCAGGATTTGATAAACATTTATTTACACAATCGCATTTATTGGCAGGTTGATCACAAGCTAACATACTAGAATATTTATATCACGTTGCGACGCACGGGCATTGTCCTAGTATATTACTATAAGTCTATCAGGGTCCAGTTTGTGTTCAAATAGGTTAAAGAGTCCTATTCTTTCAGTTTGATTCTCACTTGTAAGGCAGCCCCTTTATGGCCCTGTTTGGTTCAGCTTTTATCGACGGATTCCGCTTCCGCGCAGCAGAATCTGAACCAAAGGGCGAACCCAGCAGAATACGATTTCAGAAATCCGCTGCCAAAATCTGAACCAAAAGCGGAAGCAGCCCAGGACGTGCTTTCCAAAATCTGATTCCGCTGCGGGCCAAAATCCGAAAAAGCTGTATCAGTTGGTTTGCCAAATGACCTACATCTTTTTCACATCAGATTTTCCACAGCTGTTTTTCCACAGCAGATTCTTCACAGCTACTTTTAGAAATCCACAGCCGAACCAAACAGGGCCTATGTAATGAGGGAGGGACCCGTGATATGAGACCAGCAAAGAATTAGAATGAAATTATCCTTTTACTTGCTCAACTCTCTCTCCTGAGCGTAGGGCTCTCTAGTCTCTAGCCCTAACCGCAGAATCTCCCTTGGGCGCCCAATCACTGAATCTTCAACCCTAGCCTAAACCTTGTTCTGAAAGTTTAAGTTCTGACATCTTTATGCCATGTCTCATTGACCACCAAGTATATGTGTCTTAGCTGTGCTATGATTCTTTTTTATGCGTTAGGTGCCTAGTTATGACCTTGCTTGTGTTTGCACTTATGCAGGATTCATTCACACGTTGCTTTAAGTCAAATTCTCCGGAGCCATGGAACTGGAACATCTATTTGTTCCCATTATGGTGCTTGGGAGCAGTCATAAGATATGGACTACTGTTTCCGCTAAGGTACTTATGTCCTATGACCTGAATTTTATACTGAGCTTTTGGGATATTGCTTATTCTCATATGTAATATTTGTACTTCTTTTTCCTCTTTTGATTTGATATCAGCACTTCTGTTATTCTGCCTTCTTGATTTATTGTGAAAATATATTTGGTTTGGTTCTAGGATAATGCAGTAGAATAATAATAGGTTTACATGCTATAGCTCTTTCAAATGATGTTTCAATCTTTGCCCTTTTCTTTTTGAGTGCTGTGTGTCGTACAACCTGCACTAAACCAGGCTTTGCAGTTTGCACATTTTGTGCCCTTCTGCAAGTATTATTTAGCCTATCATAACCATTGTTTTTAAGGTGGTAAGGCGAGGCAAGGCGCTGGAGGGGCGCCTCACTGCCTAAGCGCTAAAGCGTAAGGTGAGGCGACGCCTTAGACACATACATATATAATATATGGCAGACAATTAGGAGATTCAACAACTAGCATTAACATAATTGAGTGTACATAAATGGCAGCCAATTTGGAGATTTAACAACTAGCATTGATATAATAAGCTGTTACCAAAGAATAGGCATCATCTTGTGTATATGACAGAACGGTGCCTTTGAACTTAAGATGCATCCTCCTCATCAATATATCGCTCCATAGCTTTAAACTTTCCAGTGTTCAAGGAATTGCGTATCTCTATCCTAATCTCTATGGATGCCTCAGGGCACTTATCCGCATCACTGAAACCCCCAGAAAGGTGCTGCTTCAGCCTTTTAACTCCAGCATGGACTATCTTGCCACACAATGTATTAAATCTTTCCTCTCTAAATCTGGCCAGAACCCATACTTCCAAGCTGGGTCATTGGATAGATCATAAGCATTACCAGCCAAAGGATCCATCAGAGCAGGGACACCTGGCCAGAAAAAAAGAGAGAAGAGTCAAATAACTAGAGCAACTAGATTAAGCATGGGGAAGGAGAGAAGCGGTGGTGGGGCTGCTGCCTTGTGGATGGAGAAGCAGATTTGGGAGGAAACAGATGCAGAGGAGAAAGAGCAGAGCAGAGCAGGAAAGCATGGCAAGCTTTGGTGCTGGATGGAAGAAAGAGCAGAGGAGAGGAAGGGGGAGGAGAGAGGGCGGGAGCCATACCTTGCTGTGGTGTTGATCTTGTGGAAGAGGTTTCACTGGAGGAGGATTGGGAGGAGCTGCAGCTGGACAGGGGTGGGGAGTTGTGGCCAGGGAGGAGGAAGCCGTCGCCAGAGGAGAGACCCTCTCGCTCTATAGCTCTCGCTGGAATCCTGGAGATTTGCACGCTCTGGTTTGATTCTCTCTGTATCTTTCCCCTCCTCATAACTGTTTTGCTCGTGAGCCAATGTTCCCGCGCAGCTCAGTTTTTCCTGCCTGGAATCTCTGTTCCCTGCCTGTCAGACCAGAGCGTCTGATTTGGTCCAAGGCATGTGAGGCGGCCCTAAAGCGGACGACTCAGACGCCATACAGGCCAAGGCGGATGCCTTACTCAATAGTCTAAGGCGAGGACGACGTCTTGCCATCAGGGAGCGCACCCTGACGCCAAAGCGTCGCCTAGGCGACGCCTTAGGGACGTCTTGAAAACAATGATCATAACCCCATTGGTGTAAAATTGTTACGTGTGCAATTACATTTGTTCCTTTGATGCCTAGAATGTTTTTCATGTTCCCTTTGAGGCTGTAAGTTTTCTTCTCCAAAACTTGTAAAATAATTCAATACAAGTAATGTACTGGAAAATAATTGAATTTTATGTAAATTTTTGAAGAGAAACATTTGTCTTCTCTGTACTTTTCTTTGTATGCTAGTGTTTACTACTACTAATTAATTCATCCAGTGTATCTTCTGCTTTCATTGATTTCTTCGTAAATATCTAATCTAGTCATCTGATAAGTTAATTGTGTATCAGGTTCTTAACACTTATACTAGGATGGATGGCCTTCTTTACTGCCTTTTTTCCTGTGCGTTTCCTAATGAACGGGAAAAATAGGCTAAAAAGTAAAATAGAGGTGAGCTATTTTATTTTCATGAATCAGTTTATCTCTTATTGTGGATATGTCCATATTCAGTGTATATGACCTCATGAGCTAAAAAGCACGGACACGAGGACAGAAAGACGGGGATACGCATACGGGGATACGGGATACGGCATTTTTCAGAAACAGCCATTCGGGGATACAGCAAGTATATATAAAATAAAATAAAAATATGCCATGTAATAGAGTTAAGACAGAAAATTAATGAGAAGGAAATCAAAATAGAGAATCCTGCTCCATTTGGTGTCTCTTTTTATCAAGTCCTTGATTGATCCTCGTCCTCCCATGCCATGCAACCTAACATCAAGCAGTACAAGGAGCAAGTATTCATCAATCATCATTCAAGTTCAACAGCAGCACAAGCATTCAACTAGCAACTAGCAAACATGACATGGGTAGCAACAGGCAACAGCAAGTCAGCAGCAGCGGCAGCAGGCCGGCAGCACAAGCATTCAAATAGAGTTAAGACAAGCACACCATCCATTAGTTCAATGGAAGGAATCCGAATAAAAGAAATGAAGAAGTTGAGGAGAGGCTACTGGGTTTGGAGATTGGGGAGGGTTACCTGCCGTTGTGAGGAGAGGCTGCTGCCTGCTGGTGCTGTGGGGTAGCAGTTGCCGGTCGAGTGCAGGTGTCGCCGCCGGCGGCGGCGTTGAGTCCAGGCGGCGGTGGCTTCGATCCAGGAGAGGCTGCGACCTGGGAGCACATCGCTTTTGTGTGGAAGAGATGCGTGCGACTCATGTAAAACATAGGGTTTCGTTTTGGGCCTGGTATTGGGCCAGGCCGTATCCCAACCGTGTCACGGACGTATCCCACCGTATCCCCTCATTTTTTTCTTTCTTTTTAATCGAAAATCAGGGGATACTGGGGGACACGCGTATCCTGCCGTATCCCGCCGTATCAGAACGGCAGATCGGCAATTCCTGCCGTGTCCATGCTTTCTAGCTCATGAGCGGTCTGGCGTGGAGCTTTAACTGTACTCTTGGTTTCAATGTCAATTATATGTCTGTGTGTGTGCATTCATGTCCGTGGTTCTTTGGGTTTGTGGTTGGGTGAATGCGGTAAATCTGTGCACCTTTCTGTGTTGCTTCAAATTTCAATGGAAGAATGAATTAATAACAAACTATGGCAAGTTTGTTTCCGCTTTTTCCGGTGCTGAATCGTGGGGATCAAGATCTTTCCCTTTTCCCAGTGAATACCAATACATAACGATAATTGGCACTCCATCAGTTAATCCCTTTTTGACATCTTTTAGGGGTTTAGCCCCTACAAGCAATCCAGTTATATCGTATGTTGTACTGTAAGTTAGTTTATTGTGATTGTATCTTTGAATCCTAGTAAGTTTATTTGTTAGATAACCCTTAAAGCTTATTGAGTTAACTAGGCTTATGCACTCACATGTACTTGTACACATAAACTGTTGCTATTGCATTTAGACTCTGGAGTCATATAAACTGAGATATAGGTCAGCTGTTTGGTCCTGCCTGACACCATTACTTCTTTTGGTCTTGCACCTTCATGTTTGTTTTGCCAACTTTGTTCACATTAGTGTAGACTCTGGAGTCATATAAACTGAGATATAGGTCAGCTGTTTGGTCCTGCCTGACACCATTACTTCTTTTGGTCTTGCACCTTCATGTTTGTTTTGCCAACTTTGTTCACATTAGTGTGGTTTTTCTTTAAAACTTCTTGGGTTCCGAGTTCATTAATTTGTTTCGAGCTTTGTGCAGAGAAAGCTGGTTGAAATGATGTGCAGTGTTTTTGTTGCTTCTTGGACTGGAGTGATCAAGTACCATGGACCACGCCCAAGCTCACGCCCTTATCAGGTTAACTTTGTTTGCTTTGTTTACTAATATGTGAGGTACATGTGTGGTTGTGAACACAAGAGAAGTGTGACCACCTTCACTTTTGAGGTGTATAAACATAACAGCTGTTAAATTAAAGGCTTGTTCCCATGAAATACCACACGGAAAGGTAGCACAAGCCACAAGATATTTTTCTATCGCATACTTCTAAATTTTAATTGTGGAACATGTGTGTGCTCTGTGCCATGAATACATAATTTTTTTGTTTAAAATCCTATCTACAGGTCCACGTTGTTCTTATAAATAACATTCATTTCTTTATCACTATAAACTTCTCAGTATAATTAATACCCTTGTATTAATCTTCTAATTATTACAACAGGTATTTGTTGCAAACCATACATCGATGATAGATTTTATTATTCTGGAGCAGATGACAGCATTTGCTGTCATCATGCAAAAGCATCCTGGATGGGTTGGTCAGTTTCCTATTCTTCAGAAACTTCTCTTCTAGTTTTTGTTTAGTTCTCAATGCTAGAATTTTGATTTATTTATTATTTCCCCTCTCAGGATTTATTCAGAAGACTATTCTGGAAAGTGTGGGTTGCATCTGGTTTAACCGTAATGATCTCAAGGATCGTGAAGTAGTTGGAAGAAAGTAAGTTTTTTCCTTTGCAACTCTTTTCTGTTTGAAGATCTGTTTATTCAATGATTTTTTTTTCTTACCAGGTTACGTGATCATGTTCAGCATCCAGACAACAATCCTCTCTTGATTTTCCCAGAAGGAACTTGTGTTAATAATCAGTACACTGTGATGTTCAAGAAGGTAAAGTTGTACACCTGAAATCTCTTTGAATATTCTACGACAGTACAAAGTTTATGCAAGAGAGAATTCATAATTCCATTCTTTGCAGGGACTTAAGTGATCATATGTATGGTATCAGTATAGCATCTTGTTTATCTGTCTCGGAGTTCTCTGCATGCAAATCATTAAGACTTGTAAATGAGTTTGGAGAAAAGAAAACGAAAGAAAAATACTTTTCTTTTCACTCAGTACACAAGCTGATTAAAACAAACACTGGAAACCAGTCATCTTATTGCGTGGCATGTGCTTTGTCATTTTTGCTTGTTGAGCGTGATCACACAACTATGCGTTGATTAAATTATTTCTTTGCTTATATTTTCAGGGTGCTTTTGAGCTTGGCTGTGCTGTATGTCCAATAGCTATCAAATATAATAAAATATTTGTTGACGCCTTCTGGAATAGTAAGAAGTATGGAATACAAACAAATATATGCATTTACTTTGTTCACACCTATATACCTTCCTTTTTTCACATATTACCTCGCTTGAAATGTTTACCAGGCAATCTTTTACAATGCATTTGGTTCGTCTTATGACATCATGGGCTGTTGTTTGTGATGTTTGGTTCTTGGAACCTCAGTATCTCAGGGAAGGGGAGACAGCGATAGAATTTACTGAAAGGTAACACAAAAGTTTTGATAATGCTTTTTTCTAAGAAAATACCAAGGGTCAGAGTAATCTTTTATACCTGATGCAATGCTTTGTACAGAGTGAGGGATATGATAGCTGCTCGGGCTGGTCTTAAGAAGGTTCCATGGGATGGCTATCTGAAACATAACCGCCCTAGCCCCAAACATACCGAGGAAAAGTGCGTAAAATCTCTCTCTCTCCCCCTCTCCCTCTTGCTCCCTTCGTTTCTAAATACAAGTCTTTTTAGAGATTTCATTGTGGATTAGATACGGATGCATATAGACGGATTTTAGAGTGAGATTCACCCATTTCGCTCCGTATATAGTCATATTGAAATCTTCTAAAAAGACTTAGAAACGGAGTGTATCTTAATATAAAAACTATAATAGAGGATGTTGATTTGGTCAAACTAGCCAGTTAACCATTTTAAGTTTACTTAATATCTAACAAGCCTTTTCAATTTTCAGGCAGCGCATGTTTGCTGAATCTGTGCTGAGGAGACTAGAGGAAAACTAAATAGCTATCAATCAACTCAGGTTCTCCTGGTTAGTTGAGGGATTTCCCCTTAGTTGCCTTGTAATCTGTTAATCACCCAAGTGAGACCTGGGACATGTGGAAATGACCACCGCAGTTTTGCTGTAAATTTGTTTGCAGTTTGACAGAATCAGTAGCATGTGCTTGGCAAGAAAGAACTATTGAATCAACCTTGCTATACATACGACACTGCTTGTCCGATTTTTGTACGACGCATTAGATCAAGCCGTTGATGCGCTGAACAAAACTGCAGTGGACATCAGATTTTGCGTGGTACACAAATTGAACCATGAAGCATTGTACGCATAGTGGTTCCGCTATTGAATGGATGCGTGCCTATAGATCTTTTAATATCTTATGATTGGTTAGTGTTAACACGTAAGCATTGGTGTTCTTATCAGTAGATGCTGTATTGGTATTTGACCTCTGTTTCATGTGGACAGTCAGTCCTGATCATTCTTATATCCTTAATCATGTGATTATTTGTTTGATGTTCTGTGTAAATGCGAGAGATACAACTGGATTGCATCTCCGAAAAAACAAATTGGTTAAGAGGTAAAGCATCGGTATTTGCACAATTAGATGCTCTAACGAAGTTAGAAGAAACGAGAGATACGGCTGCATGACTTTCGAAAAATACATATGGTGAAAGGTTAAGCATATATATATAAATAGATGCTTGCACTAAAACAGAACCAGCAGCGTGCCCTTTCAGACCATGGTTAATTATATTCTACTCCGTCCGTTCCTAAATATAAGTTTCTTTTAGAGATTTGATTAAGAGCAAAATGAATGAATCTACGCTCTAAACCATGTCTACTTACATCCGTATATAGTCCATATTGAAATCTCGAGAAAGACTTCTATTTAGAAACGGAGGGAGTAGCTTCTATCTTACTATATTTCGTATGTTTTTGCATTGGATCGCCAGCTGTTAAATTTGTTGTCTTCTTTTATGTTTTTAATCAGATGTTGCATTGTTAAATATGTTATCTTTTTATCTTGCAAGACATTTGAAACCTTCCGATCCTCACATGCATTCACACTTCATTACAAATTTACAATGATCACAAATTTCATGACATGTAGACATCTGGAACCAAATTTCAGCGCCCTTTGATGCTCACATCATTCTTTTTGCATTAGAAGGATCGCAGTCTATAAAATGTAGTCACCAATACATGTACGTCAAGCACATGAATTAAAACAAAGGAATCACCATTACCACCCCAAACCCAAATGACAAGCAGTTATGTTCAAGAAGAAAGAGAAATAAATCAAGAGGGAAGGAAAACTAATAGAAGAGCAGCTGTGAATGATCCACTAGAAGTCTAGAAGTAGAGCGTGCAGGGCGTGTTCCTGTCCTCCTGGTGGAGGCTGCCGTCCCCGCTGATCTTGAACCCGCAGTCCGCCTTCATGTGGTGCTCCTTGGTGTCCCACACCTTCACCTGGAACCTCACCGTGGAGTTGAGTACCAGGCGCAGCCCCACGCTGCCGGCGCCCACCTCGCTGGCGAAGCGCTGCCACGCGGGGTCGGTCGGCGTCGGGCCGGAGGCGGCGAGCTCGCCCTGCACTAGCGTGTCGCCCTTGGGCGGCTGGTAGAAGGGGTACATGACGGGGCCGGACGCGATGAGCTCGTCGTCGTAGTAGACGGAGCCGTAGACGGCCTCGAAGTGGATGCCGATCTTCTGGTTGGGGTTGTGCTCGTTGACGGCGAACTTGACGGGCAGGTTGGCGGCGCCGGACTGGCGGTTGACGTTGGGGATGCTGAAGTCGGTGAGCGTGAACTTGGGGCGGTGCGGGCGGAGGCTGAGCCAGAGCACGAAGAGGATGATGCCGGCGATGAGGACGAGCGTGAGCAGCACCGCGCAGAGGAAGTTGAGGCACCGGATCGCCGGGCTCTGCCGGTGGTACGACGGCAGGCGGTAGTTCCGCGGCATGGCTGCTCGATCGATCGACCGGCGCCGGCGCTGTACCTGTACGTGTGCAGTTCGTGACGCTGGTTGGTGTACGTGATGCGTATGCTTGCGTTTGACGATTTATAGGTCCACATGCGCCATGCATGCCACGGTGTGCAAGGCAGTAATATTCTTGCCGTGCGCCAAAGATGGCACACGCTAGCACGCAAAACTGTTGATGACGAACGTACTGGATGTTGATTCCCGTGAGGCTGGCTTTGACAGAGCTGGACTGCTGGAAAGTGAAGCCGAATAACTCGAAAGGGCGAGCTCTGTTTAAGCGGATGGGCGAGCATACGTTCTCCTGTTTGTTTACAATAAGATATTTTTCTCTGTCGTGGTATGGTTCTGCCGCATCGTTTCTCTGTAAACGTATGATGTACATGTTGTAAAGCAAGCTCCCTTGCCTGTAAAAGTAGTACATATTCTGCGGCTCTGACTAACTTATTCTTGAATTCTTTGCTTGAGGTTTCCTGCGGATATGGGAAGAACAGTTGCCGAAGCTTCGCCCTCGGGCAGACGCAAAGGGAAATGCTGCAGACCCGAGATGGCAACACCGTTCCTTGGATTCGTTAGCTAAAAGCACCTAAATTTACTATGGTCTATGAGGATGTCACTGGTAATCTGGTACTCCCTCCCATCCATGTTGATTGCCGTTGCTTTAGTACAACTTCAACCATTTTCGTACGAGTTTTTTTTTTTGTATATGTAGTATATCTTTCTAAAGAAAATATCTCAGGTATTGCATATCCAGAAAGGCATCCTCGTGAACCTGGCACTACGACTTCCCAAGGAAGCAAGACCATGGTGAGATGCGCCAGTCCAACAAGGAGCGGTCCCAACTAATTGGCGAGTGGTGGTTGACAAGGCAAGCATATACAGTACCCTGATAATTTACGTGCCCAAATGGTAGTTTGTTGGACGCTGTTTTCACTGGCAATTCTTTTGAAATATAGAAAGGTGTGCTCTATGGTTTAGAGCTTCTCAAGAAGGTGATTATCTAAGTATTTGACAAAAAACCTACCACATTAGGGGTTACCGTCCCACAGAACTACCATTTTCAAAAAGTGACTGATAACTACCAAAAATTTCTAATTTTGTGACTAAAAACTACCACTTTTGAAAAAAGGCCAGTTTAGACGATTTAAACATGTTTATGACATGCGGGGTCCACCCGTCAGAGATGATGTGGCGGCAAAGTCAACTCCGTTTATTTTGACCGTTACGTTGACTGTCATTACAAGTGGGGCCCACCTGTCAGCATCAATCTTCTTCTTCCTCCTCCTCCTCTCTCTCTTTGGCATTTCGTTGAACACTTGCTGTGCACCCGGGCTTGAGCTCCGAACTCCTCCATGACGACGCCCCGGCGCAGCACCTCCCTGGCGTTGGTTGGGGACTGGAACGGCGCTGCAACCACGGCGGTTGGAACTATGGAAGCGGCTGCCGAAGCTGACGGGATTTCCTCCGAGGCCGTCGGCGCCACCACCGGACACAGCTCCTCGACGGCGACCTCCTTGAGGATCTTGTGCTTGAGCAACTCGGTGTGCAGGCGGGACTCACGCTCCTGCATCTCCTTGACGAGGCGCGCAAGCTTGGCGGCGCCCGGCGCCGTGGCCGCGCGCGCCGGCTACACCTGCGCGGAGTACGGGAGGTGGGCGACGAGGAGCCCCAGGAGCTCATGTGGGAGCTCGGACCAAGGCAAAGCCTCCTCCGGCTCCTCGATGAGGCGCATGAGTTCGGCGGCGTCCGACACCGTGGCCGTGCGGGCCGGCTGCACCTGCACGGAGGAGCAGGAGGCGGGCGATGAAGCGCCCCAGGATCTCATGTGGGAGCTCGAACCAAGGCGAGTATTAGCTAGGTTGGTTCGTGCATGCCGGTGGCGGTTATCGCCAGCAGAGGTGACCTCGTCGGAGTGACGCGAGGGGGAGAGATGGTCGCCGGAGTGGTTGGGCAGCTCGGGCTCTCCCTTTCCAGACAGGATCGAGGCATGGGGAGAGGTGAGCGCCGGCAGTGGAGGACGGTGGAGGTAGCTCGCGGGTGCATACAAGGTGTTTGAGGAAATGGCAAAGAGAGAAAGGAGGAGGAGGAAGAAGAAGAGTGATGCTGACATGTGGGCCCCACTTGTAATAACAGTCAACGTAACGGTCAAAATAAACAGTATTGACTTTGCCGCCATGTCAGCCCTGATGGGTGGGTCCCGCATGTCATAAACGTGTTTAAATCATCTAAACGGATCATTTTTCAAAAACGGTAGTTTTTAGTCACAAAAATAGAAATTTTTGGTAGTTATCGGTCACTTTTTTTAAAGTGGTAGTTCTGTGGGACGGTAACCCCTAATGTGGTAGTTTTTTGTCAAATACTCTGATTATTTGGAGGGTTGGGGATGGCACAGACATTAGGACCTGATGGGATCCTTGGATCCCTCGAGGGCCATCTTTCCACCCCATAACCCCTAAGGCTTTGTTTGGTAGGAGTGGATTTGAGAGGTTTGGGGAGGAGGGGATTTCAGGGGATTTGGTGAATCCCCCTCTTTCACCCAATCCCCTCAGATCCCCTTGAAACCTCAACTCCCTCTCCAGCCACAATCCCCTTCATATAAAACACTATTTGGTAGGCAGGGATTGCCCTATTGAGTTAAAATGGTGTAAAACAGTTAAAAATCCAATTTTTACAGGTTAAATAGCATCATAGCTAACAAACTTGCTATAAAATTGTGAATGACACCTAATAAAAATGTGACAATTGTTCTTCACATCAAGAACATAATCTCTCATAGCAGCATGACTTGAAACCAATAATATATATCTTCATAGCAACATGATCTTTCACAACACCAAACATAATGTTATACAGGGCACTTGTGCAACAGTTCACAATCAATTATATTTTTACAGACCAAGCAAGGATGAGAATGATGTTGTCATACAGATGAATTGCTCTTACAATGTCATGATCATCGAGTTTTTGAATGGCCAAAAGTTTTGTCCAGCTTGCTTCTCTAGTTGCTAAAGAGCCTGCTAAAACAAAAGGAGATGAGCTTTTTAAATAGGCCAACAAGTCAG